CCCGGAAGCTAAACAGAAAAAAAAGATGGCTCTTGTCCATAGTGGAGATCTTTGTGCAAGGAATGCACGATTTTTTTTTTTTTTAAATAAATTTACTTAAAAAGGCTAGCAAAGAAAGATTGCAGTAAAGGAAGAAAGAAAAAAATAAACTTTCAAAAGATTGAAAATAAACATTTTCTTTCACTCAAATTAACACTGGTCCAAACTTATGTCTTTAACTTCTATTCATTCAAAACTTAAATCAACTTTTTCACCAGTGTTCTGACTTCACCCCAAACTTTTCAGTAATATTTGCACATATAGCCTAATTTTCAAGTGAAACAAACAACTCTTTACGAGCCATGGAGCTGTTTGAGAATGAAAGTTGTATCAGAGGCAAGGTTTCGACAGAAATGAAGACTACATACATTTTTTGGGAGCCCTATTTAGCGTTGCACTTTTCTTTATCAGGAACCGGAGCTTGAGATTCATGCATTTTGCGCATGGCACTAAGTAAAATTAGAAACTGACTATCCTCATACTCTTAAATTTTTCATATACCTATCATTGTTTAAATGTTTCATATATTGTTAGAGAGCCATTAATGTCTTTAGAAGAGGCTGTTTCTTCAGGAGAAAGAAAAATAATAATAAAAAAAACCAAGAATTTACACCTCTGCATCTTCATACCTTCTTAAAACCAAAATGAGTAGCCATTTTTGAGGCACATTCAGAATCTCTGGAATGATCTGGTGACGAAAAATAGTGTATAGTGTGTAGGTGTAGTTGTAGTGATTAACTCTTGTGTTTTTCTCTTTGTTTCTCTCTGATGATGGCGTGTAAGCCGAAAGGCCTCAGGGTAATGTAAACAAAGCACAAACTGATTGCGGGTAGACACACGTATAGACAGTAAGTGGGATAAGCCAACAGTAAGCCTCTGTATTGAGATTTCCAGTTTTTTGGATTTTAACGCACATTGGCTACATCTCCAACTTACTGACTAAATAAAGCAACAAAAAATGGCAGCATAATGGTTGTAAGAAATCTTCTTTTTATTATTATATTTGCTGCTTCTCCAAGCATGTTTAGATATGCTAAAACTTTAATAGGGTTTAATAATTTTGAGCATTTTTTATTGTCGCTCTATGTTTTTAGAACTCAATTCTCATAATTCATTTAATGATATTTTTGTGTTTCAGAATTATTTCTATTCAGGATGTCGGAAGATGGTGTTGGATGTTTGCTTTTTATTGCTACAAAAAAACCTTGCGATATCAGGGAATCGAATAGAGGCCATGTCCAACCTTCAATTAAAGGCTACTCAGTGCTACCACAAGCTTTCAAAGACGCAAATCCACAGATTCTAGACAGTTTTTTGAGTAATGGGATCCAAGTTTTAGGGAACAATCCAGAAGATGCCACCTTTCAATTTGCCCATGAAAACTTGAAGTTTGAAATGTTTGAAACAATGATTTTATTGGACGAGTCAGAAAATGAACCTGCAAATTTTGTTACATTGAGGCCACACAGTATTGTTGTGCATCCACTCAATAAGGAAGCCATTGAATTCCTTCTGAATAGTGACTTTGAAGTTCTCGCACTTGACGAGGAAGATGACGCAGATTACGCAGAAGTGGTGGAGGATAACTTAAAGGCTTTGGAATGCTTTTTCACTGCAGATGCGGAAATAGCATACAACCATCATAAAGGGGGAACTATTCTGCATTTTGCGGTCAAAAGATCCATTGATGGTCTTGTGAAATCGCTTTTGAAATGTGGAGCAAACATTAAAGCTGAACGAAATGATGGCATGACACCCCTTCACCTAGCAGCAAAACATGGGGACTTAGGAATCACGAGAATACTTGTAGAAAACGGAGCAGATGTAGATTCCGGTGTGAGAAATGCTTCTTTCAAAGGGTGGACACCCCTAGTATTTTCGTTTTTCAGCAAAGACAATGACACACTGAGGTTTCTTTTAGAATCTGGAGCGAATGTTGATACTGAATTCGACTACCACTCTTGCTTTGTGAGCTATGACTATTTAGATCATGTTACCAGAACTACCCTTCTTTACATAGCAGTCTTGGAATACTCGGAAGAGAAGTACCATCTTATTGATACTATCTTACACCACCATCCAAACATTCACAATGAATTCAACAAGAAAGCTTTCCACTACATTCTTTTTTCTTTAGACGATGAGTTTATTGATGTGTTCAATAAAATGAAATATGCTGGATTCAAAATAAATCATGAAGACATTGAAGGCTTTTCCAAAAAGCCCTCCCTTCCGAAGTGTGAAATTCATACTGCTGTAATCAATGTTCTGGAGGAAACATGGATTTATGGGTGTGATCTGCGCTCTGCTAGATTCTTGTGTGGCGCTGTCCACAAGAACTACTTTCAGCTAGTAAAATCAATTATTGAGAAGGGTACAAGCGTAAGTGAGGGATATGATCATGGTTGCTGGAAAAAATGCACACCGTTGCATATGGCTGCAGGTTACGCTAATGAAGAGATCATTAATTACCTCTACCTTCAGGGAGCTGACGTAAATGCAAAATTAGCGGCACTGGGTGTGGGGAAACCAGAAACTCCATTACTATGGGCTGTTCGGAATTGTAATAAAAGTGCGATTCAATTTCTCATAGAACACGGTGCCAATTTTTCAGATGATGTAGCTGAGCTCACACAGGTGGCAGCACAAAATGGCCTCCTCGACATTGTTGAATTTTTTTTGCTGAACGGAATCACCTCCAACTCACAAGATGGATACTTTCCGGCAATTTGCGGGGCTGCGTCTGGAGGTCATCTCAATGTGATGAAAACTTTATTTGAATACACGGCAGAGCTTGGCCCAGAGCGCTACTCATGCAATGCTCTTCTGAGCGCTTACTTTAGCGGACATATCGAGGTATTTCAAAAGCTTTTAGATAATAATTTCAATAATACGGCTATTATTTTAGAATTTACGAAATTGTCATATTTGCTACCTATTGAAGGTGCTGATAAGTACTTAAAGAAATCAAATTGTTTAACAGTCTTAGCTAGACACATGATCAAAATGGAAGTAGCAAATTTGCTGTTCTTTGACATGGATCTAAGAACTTTTTGGTTTGCTGAGGAGAGTCTCAGTGATTTTCAAAGTCATTGCAAATTGGAAATAGTCACTCTAAAAAAAGAAGCTGTGAATGATTCTGGTCTTACATTATACGATATTCTGATCGGGAATTTAGATCAGCTTGTCGGCTACGCGAAAAATGAGGTCACTATGAAAAACATGAGACGTGCTCATTATAAGACGGCGTTTCCAATTTATGCTACTGTGCTTGATCATCAAATTAAGAAAGGATACCAGCGAGTAAACCTTATGAAACAAGGCATTAAAATTTTTGAGAAACTGCTTCCGGCACTTTATGAATTACCTTATGAGCTGAGGGAAAAAATTATCAGCTTCATGGACAATCGCGATTTGATATGTCTGGCCATTGCGTGGTCACAAAAGAGAGGTTGCCAAAACATAGAAGGCAGTCCTATTTTAGTCTCTTCTAATGGTGTAGCGCTCTGATCATATTGAGAGGCTAGCGCAAATATACATAGGACTATAAACAGGATTAAAAAAAAAAATCACAACTTCTTGATTAAAGTACCTCACTGAATAAAAATAATTTCAATATCTTTGAAGGAAAACCAATTATTGTAAGTATTAACCATTATTGCTAGACACAGCCCTACACCTTACAAATATGACGCCAATCCTCTGCTCCTTGATCCAAAATAAATCCTCTCTTTTTCTCTCTTGTCTCTCTTTCACCATGCCAAACTGCCATGCTAAGGAAGCAGTCATATGAACATTCCGCAGTTGCCAAGTTTTCCCGGATAAAACATGTATTTTTGAGGAAAGTTTTGCTTAATTTCCCTTGAAGTTTTCAGACATGTTAGATTAAATTGAGAACTAAATTGTGTGAAAAATTTAAAGAAAAGTGTTCACAATTTTCCCAGTAAATTCGTTTTGTGTTGGAGGAAATGTGGCAACGCCTGAAGGCTCATACGGCGTTCTTCCTTAGCACGGCAGCATACCACACCAATAGGAAAGAGTTGAAAAGAACGACGAAGAGTGAAAGAAGAAGAGTGTAGCATTACTCACAACTTACTTAAAAGAAGGTTTTTTCAATGTCTATTTTTTTTGTAAATATTTGTAATAATTTTCTTGTATAATAGTATCAGTAATCAATTTGGTGATCAAAAATGTGATCTCATTCCTTTTTATTCTCTTTTTTATGATTATTGTGTATTGTGATAAACATACAAATAAAAGAGTCAACAAAAATTGTTTACTCTCATCATTTCTGCAAAGGAGATAGAATAGCTCCAATTCCTATAGGAAGAATGTCTGACCACTTTTGATGAGGGAGACCTGCTTTCCAGCCCATAAAATGTTCCCGATGAATTTATACGCATGATTGCGCAGCGCAATTATGGCTGCGAAAATTTTGTGCAATCAGACTAGCTGCTCGCAAAAAGTTGGAAGAAAAGAGAAAAAAAGTTGTGACTTTTGTGACTACCCCTACTTTTCCTGATATGGCGAGGGATGTACATATCTTTACAAGGGCATCATAGCATCCCGGTTTCTTCTTCTTTCGCCAAAATGCACAGTTTAATTACGAGTAAAGTTAGAACTATTGTACATTGCACTTAAGGAAAATTTTTCATAAAAATGTATGCTTATACTCATTTTATAAAACTTTTACTTGGCCAAGTTCCTTTGTAAAAGAACAATTTAAAGGAAAAAATGCAAGAGCAAAGAATGAGGAAGCTGGAATGATGTTCTGCCCTTCTAGAGTCTTCATTAGAACAGTTCAAATAGGAACATTAATCGTTGAGACAATATACAACAGTCAAACCAACGAATCTTCTTTCGAATGCTACAAAACTTTAAAATTGTTCAAAAAGGACTCTCATGCAGTGAAATGAGACATAAACTGACCAGTTTTTTTTAACGTTGACACTTTACAGGCAATGATGAATAGCATGACATGCAAAGAAAAAATCATGAAGAGGCATCTGATATGTTTGAGGGCAGATAAGTTGACAGGTTAAATTCAGAGTAAAATGCAAGAATTTTCTTTTCATGCCCATCAACCCCCAACCTTGCATTTAGTCATAAATTCAGATTCAGTGTAAAATTTTGATGGGATGGCACCAGAATTCTACACCGGTGAGTAATTTTGAAGCTAACTACGGGAGCGCAGAAGTGGGTATGAGAATTTTTTCCTGCATTCATGTAACCAGCTTCATAATCATGACTCAACTACATAGAATTTTGGAGCGATAGGTAGGCATCTGGCACCAGGTTCTAGTGCTCCGCTGTAATCCACCTGTAGGTACATAAATTCGTGCATTTTATTTCAGATATGACTCATCAATTCGGCTGTCCTAGAGTTCAATGCAATAACTTCTGGCTGATGCGAAATATGATTGGTACTTACTTGATTTACGATGAGGGATAGACTCAAAATTTGAAATGAGATCATTGTTGTAGTCAGCTTATGGTAGATGGCATATAATACATTGTAAAGTCTACAGTTGCTGGGTGGTAACAATGAGGCGTTTCAGCAAACTTGGTCATGGTGCTAAAAAAATTAAACGAAGAAAGGAAATGAATTATCAGGAATTTACACATGGTTAGTTTTGCGGAGCGTTTCAGTACTGAGATTTTTTGATGTATGATAAATAATTAGCAACTGGCCAACATGGTTAATTTTATAAAGAAATGAGCTTGAGGTAAATTTGCCAGCTCTTCATTATTTCTCATAATTATTTAGAGTTCAATTTTTGATCAATTTTGGTGTTGTAATGTTTTGATTTCTGTCAAAAAAATAAAGTATAACAGAAAAGTGGCAATGTGGAATACAGTTAGGCTCATTTTGATTTGATCCCTTCAAATAGTATTGGGGATAAACTAATTTTTAAAAGAATTCTTCTTCGCAAGCAGATAATGAAATTTGAAGAAATTTGGTGAATTACACTTGTTACCGTGACTTTATGCTATCCATTAATGTTTAAATAGACATGGCATAGCCTTTTGCAACACTTGCATGTAAGTAATTTAAATTTCATTCATTACGCCCAGAACTCTACCTGCAAATCTGTTATTAATCATGAAGTTGTGTCGACAGTCTTGAAAAAATTCATCAAGTTTTGACTGAAAGGTCAAAACACCTACTTTGACGATGGGCATGACAAATTACAATGGCTGTCTCATAAGTGATGCAACGGTTGCGAAAGTAGGGGGAAAGGAAGAGCCCTTACAACACGGCAGAAAATGTTTTAAAAATAAAGAAAATCTTGGCGAGTCATTTGATGAGGAACAATCCATGTTGCAGACCTTACTGCCATGTTACGGAAAATGCTGTATGAGCATTCGAAAGTTGCCAGATTTCTTGAGATAAAATATTTATTTTTGAGGATATTTATGAGTATCTTTCCTTGAAATTTTCAAATACTTCATATTAAAGTGCACAGAAAATTTTCTGAAAAATTGGACGGTAAATATATTTTGTCAGAGGTAATTTGGAAAATCCTGAAGGCTCATACATCATTCTTCCTAAGCATGGTAGTTCAGCAAATAAACCTTTCTGGGTAAAGTTACACAAATAAATGAACTTTATTTTTAAACTCCTTTTTTTTCTTTCAAAATGTACCATGAAATCGTGGCAGGTGCTGAAGAACATATCGCAGGGAAACCTCTGTATGCTGGTGAACTTTAAATGAAGATCTGAACAAGGTTTATTTCCAAGCTGTAGATCTGATGTATACGACTTTCAAAATTGCATTTTAATATCTACTTTAGTTTTCTTAAAAAATGAACTGTACCATTGTACTTGGAACAGCCTATTTTTTCACAAGATTCATGGACGGTTAACAACAAAAATTTGCTTATTTTACTTCCTCCCTTCAAAGAATTAATTCAAACAATACCTGACGTCATCGGTGGCATTTCTCCATAGCAATGTTTTGCTTTTGGATCTCGATACGAATTCTCGTGCTGTACACTTGATGAGCTGGTTCTGCATTTTGCGAGACACAACTCAAAATGGTCGCTTATTGATGAGAGGAGAACATGAAATGTTTGCTCAGCCTTTCCAATAACTTTTTGTAATAGTTCTTTCTGTGAAAACGAAAAATGAAAACTAAGCAAGGAGCAGCGGTTAAAACAAAGAATTTCTAAAAACAGCATTCAGGGCACATTCAGAGACACTCTGAGAAAAGACCTGTCGTAGTTTAGTATTAATTTGTTAGTCAGGGAGTGGTCAGACAAATTTCCCCGCCTTGTATGTAAATGTAAGGGAATCATGGTTTTTTCCATATTTTCTAAACTTATCTTGAACTTTTTTTTTTAGTTTAGTACTTCAGCATTTTTTGCACTTATGGTGCCCCTACCTAAAATATCAATGGCTAAAGTTGAAAACTGCATGACTGCATTGCAACGTTTGAAAATTTCCGCGCTTGATATTATATTTTCAAAAGAAAACTAACTGCAAACTGCGATACCTCATTGAGATTCTCCGACAATATTTTTGAATAAGTGAAGAAGATTTGCAGAAAATTGCAAGGAAGCCTGGTAGTTAATTTTCTTTCAAAAGAGTTAACAGGTGCAGAGACATGCAAAGTTGCAAGTGGAGATCCACATTTTGCAAATTTGCCTCCTTCAATGTTATTGGTGCGGATCTATTTCACATTTATCTTTTCTGAAAACTTCCTATAAAGTTAGTTCCGTACTGCTTTAAGACATCCCTTTATCAGTAAAGCACAAAGGCTATGGAAATCCCTCAGCTTCCAGCTCGGTTGCTGGTTGGTAATCAGTTGTATACCCATCAGTATACTTGCCTATTTTCATTCTAATCCTTGAAATCATACATACGTGTATCAAAAAACCAAAACAAGGTATAAGAGCATGAAATTCATGAAAGCTGAAAATCAAAATAATGACGTTTTATGACTTACTTTATCTGGATGAAGGCAGCAAGAGATACAGTATTCGTAGATACTACAACAATTATTATCCTTACAAGTCTCACACCAATAGCGTTTCGTTGATTCACTATTCACATTGCAGCAGCCAGTGAATAGCAGGTCTCCTCGATTACAGACATACCCTGAAAAAAAATTATGCAAAATAACTATTCAAAACGGACCGTTATCTACTTTGTTTCACACATAAAACATTATAGAGAGGATAACTTTATTTATTGCAACCAAATTCTCACTCAAATGTGACTGTTGTTCCATGTTCTTGGAAACTATTAATCAGATTATTTTATTAAGGCCAAAAGATGGACAGTATTCAGCAGAGGAGAACAAAAACCTTCGAGGGGTTTTGAGGGATTTCAAAAATCAAGTGATTCCTAGTCTCAGAGGACAAACATATGAGGATCTATCCAACCAAACAGCATATATCCATGTCAGAGTCGCTAAGATTATGCAACTAATTTGTTTTTTTTAAAAGCATCCAAAAGCAATTACACAAACTGATTGCCGTAAACGCACGGGTCGTAGGACGGGATGTTGGAGTTTTTTAGCCAACGTGCGTGAAGCTGATATCTCATTACAGAGGAAAAAAGCTCAAACACAAGCACAATTTTCCCTCAAAGAGATACGCTGTTCGGAGCAACACTAGTTACGTCCATTCAGGAAGGCAACTGCAGACGCGTTTCGGCCTTGTTGGACCAATCCTCGGTGCAGTACAACCTCCTGAATTTTCTGCTACCAAGCTCGAGAGGTCATGAAAACCAGCCCAAGACTTGGGCAAGGGGACGCTGGTGGCAAGTAAACTTGCGCCATCTAGTGAGCAATTAAAAGCAATTACATTGCACATTTCTCTCCCAAAAAATTCAGTTTAATACAGAAAAAATTTAAGACAAGTTGTGGAAGAGAGCCTGTAGTTCTCCATCTGCTATGCTGTTAAAAGTAAGCACGATCATGGCTACATTGATATGCGCAAATCGATGGCCCAAGTGCAAAACCTTGTATGTCCATAGCAGTGGTACAAAATTTCTGCTACTACACAATTTTTTCAAAGGAAAACAAGCCAAATTTATAGCTTGAAATATACCTGTACAGAATATTCTTGTTACAGAGAAGAAAAATTACAGAAATTATCAAGAAATTACATTGACTAGGTAGTTTTCTGAAGCAAAAAAAAGTAAACAGGAAGTCTACAACGTCGCAAACAGAGATGTGTTGTTTCGCACTTTGGCCATTAGTACTCTGTTTCGTTGGAAAGGTCCTCATGTCTGCCTTTTTTCTTATTTATCTTCAAACACATATGCTTTGGATTCATTAACATTTAGGTGTTTCTGAAGTAGTACGTTCAATTTCCTCTTCCCTGTAACTGACTGGAACTGGTAAGCTTTCCTGGAAATTTGTGTGTTGCCAGATTAGTGGTGGTAGGTAAGCAAATAAATATTCGAACGTAGCGGTTGCCATCCTAAGTAACGAAAGTGTATGATATAAATAAAATGGAAATTATACCTCGATCATCAGCTATGAGAACTTTCCCTTGAACAGAATTCCGACAAGTCATTTGTGAGTCAGCTGTGGCATTATCATCGCTTTCTGATCGCCATTGAAATTTGGTCAATTTCCGAACAGGGAATGGATTTACTTCTGCATATTCTTCCGTTGGTACCTAAATTAAGAATCAAATTTAGAGATATTGAGGAGGGTCATGATTGATGAATGCTAGTAACTCGACCCTTTCCACGCCGAGTTAAGAATTGGACTGCATTTTGTAATTTGGAACTATAAATTCTGGCTCATCTGAAAAAACACTTATGTGCATAGGAAAACTAATGGCACATATGTTGTTTTTAAACCGGGACAGAATTTATAGTTCCAAATTGCAAAATGCAGTCCAATTGCCCTGTGGACATCATAGATCAGGTCAGGAATAATAATATTGGGATGCGAGCATTTTGAGCTCTCTCCAGCATGACTAGCTGTACGTAGACATATACCAGAATGGAGATGTTGCATGTGTGAGGGATTAGCGATTTGACTGTTGTTTCTTAAGTAAAAGTTCGCGAGAAACACGATGGTGCTACTGGTTTTCTCTGAAATCAACTCCCAAGCTCAAAAAAGCTCTCAAAGTGAGGCCAAAATGGAGGGGATATCCCACGCTATCCTGAGAGTCCACCTCTACATCAAGACGAACTCTCCATGCAAAGATAGGGAGCAAATACATTAGCAGGGTTGCCGTGTTTTCAGTTTTGGAGTCCCCAAATGAAGTGGCAGCCCTGTCAATGTATTTGCTCCCTATCTTGGCATGGAGAGTTTTTCTTGATGTAGAGGTGGACTCTCAGGATAGCGTGGGGTATCCCCTCCATTTTGGCCTCAACTTGAGAGCTTTTTTTGAGCTTGAGAGTTAATTTTAGAGAAAACCAGTGGCACCATCGTGCTTCTTGCAAACTTTCGCATAAGAAACAACAGTCAAATCGCAAATCCCTCACACATGCAACATCTCCATTGGGGTTCATACTGCGCTAACTAATAGCTTACATAAAAAGTCTCATTTCATCAAAATACAGGGGCTCGAGAGAGGGCATGACCAAATGATCAGCGAATTTCTCCGTGCTCAACGGTGCATACAACATGGCAGGAGAGACTACTATCTCATGGTAATGAAAGGCTTGGACCCATTTCAGATGAACATACGGTTAGAAATCTGATCCAGTTGTCATTTTGTTCAGTAAACAAATCAGAATCTTTCGGTGATCCGAAAAAACTCTCTGTGAAATGTAATTAAAACGATTTCCTCTGAAACTCGACGGTAAAAGTACCAGACCACAAACCTCTGTTTGCAACGCTGTAGATTCCCAGTAATACTTCATTTTTAAAATGGAAAACTACTTCACGTTAATTCTTGTAAACTTTCCTGTTCTTTCTTTACTGCATAGAGAAAACTCTGTGAAAATTCCAAGATGTTATGTTGTTTTTTTCTCCTTCAAAAAAATTAAAAAAGAGCAAAGATTTTTAAACACCGCAAACAAGATAAGTGGGCTGATAGTTTCACAGTGGAACTGCTTACCAATCTGGGAATTTCATATATCGCAGATTTAGTGCCGAAGACTTAGGATGTCTCCGTATCAAGCAACTCCTCATGCTCTTAGAGTAGTTTCTTAAATTGTTCATACTTAACTAGGTAAAATAGAAACAAAAACATGCAATTTACCTCTTGGACAAAGCTCACGATGCAATAAATGAGCGAGAGGGTGAATATGATGCCCAGAACGCACTTCCTCCGAATGAATCTCACAACACACAGGGTCCACATTTTTCCTCTTTTGAACAGCTGCAGGTGAAATATTATTGTGCTTCAATTTTTGAGTCCTAGAAAAGGCTGAGCTAAATGGATAGTTGCCCAACGTTTTCAAAAACCGCCTTGATGATAGTGGAATGACATGGATTTTGTGCTGACGGCGTTCTTGAAAACACTTGAGAATCACTGCGTTGGCCGGTAATCATGGTTGATAAGTACCTTCTTGAGATACTTGGAGATAAGAGATTCGAAATTACTTCGGTCTGTTCATAGATGATGCAGTTGTCAGACAGATAGGAGGAAAAAAAAAGAAGAAAGAGGTCAATATGGAGTTCAGTGTCTAAAGATTTTTAGAAAGGATGAACTATGTAAAAATCTTGAACGTTATGCTCTGTAATTACTGAATCTTAATGCACAGAGGAGATATCCAGAGACTTGAATCTAGGAGAACCGCAAAAATGGAACACTTAAAGCTGTCGAAATTGTAAAAGTTTCGCGAATAGGAAGACCTTTGGAAGCGAAAAAAACAAATCAAAATCGAAGATAAACTTGAGAACTTTGAGGTTATGTAAATCAGAAACCGTTGCCATCATGTGATGACCAACGACAAACCGTGCATGTATCATGTAAATTTTGCAACCCCCCAAATTTGAAGATTTCAAATTTAAATTTCTCCACAAATTACTGTGCTCTTTTAATTAGTGTGCTTTCACTTTGCTTTAATACAATGCTCGACTTATTCTGAAAGTGCCAGAAAGATAAATTGCACTAGTCGTGCATTTTACTCTCAAAATTAGGACATCCTCTGGAGCGTAAGTCAGTGTGTAATTTTTCGTCTTGTTTCAAGCGCTCTGGAGAAAACGCTTGAATCGTTCAACACACCGTTGTTTTCAACTATTTTTACTTATTTTAAGCTTCAGTTGTTGCTTATCTTCTTGGACAATCATATGGATTCCAAAAGATCAATTCTTTTTCTTTTCCATCTCTAAATTTTCGAGAGATCTATTTTAACGATCACCTAATCTTAAGCTTCGATTTTTCTCCCACTCTTCCTATCATGTATTCAGAAAAGAAAAATAATGTACTCCACCAAACTACAGAGAAGAAGAGCAACATGCGCTCTGCCATCCTAACTTAGTGGAAACCTATCTGAGGATTTGATTTCAGTGATGCCTGAACTGTCATCCACCTTCGCTTCTAAATTAACACCATTGTATGATTCTGCATGCTTTCACAACCTGTGGGCTAATAATTGTTGAAATGCTGTTTTGAAATTCTGAGTGATCTAATTTTTTATTCTTTCACCAGGCATTGAACTTGTCGGAAGAAAAATTTAGACTTGGAGTGTGACTCTCGATTGACGTTTTTGAAGTTTTAACGCGTTAACATGGCTGTAAGTAATTAATTTTCAACCTTTTTTATCTTGATTTTACTTTCAAGGACAGAATGCAACTTATACTGCAATAATATCAGTTGGTTTTGGTGCGCTCACGATAGACAACAGGCCTCAACGGAAATTACCCGGTCAGGGCGTTGCGAGTTTAATGATCATTCTTGAACCTCCAATGTACCATGCTTTTTACCCGGTGAAGTGTCTTGGCAGTTCAGTGTTCACCACAACAGCTCAGCACTTTTTATGGTCGATGAATGGAGCCAAGGCGGATAAAGAATGGTGGTTGCATTTCGATTTTGACTGCCATTTTGAAGCGTTGTGACGTCAGGAGGGTATAGGTTTTACCATGCAATTCGAGGTTGAGCCGGCTCCCCCGGCCTCGGCTGGCTCATGTACCCGATACCATGTGACGTCCAGAGGGTACGAAATGCGACCACCATTCTTTATCTGCCTTGGAATGGAGCATTGAACGTTGAAGGAGGTAAACAATGTCATGTTACAGTAGTAAGGTCTCAGTCGGACAACAGGTAACTCCGCGGGTAATTCACCGAAATAATCTCTGTTGTCTATCATGAACTCATCTTAAATGTTGTATCTGTGGATGCTCAGAGCCTAGTGTGCCCTGTGTGGTGCTGAGGCAAGCACTGAAATGGTAGCCAGTAACCTATTACACTGCTATTTATTTCCCAAATGCTGGATACTTATGGGCCAGCAATCCAGTCGTCTCTTATTGGGCATTTCCGAATTTCGTCGATGGCCTCTGAAAGATCAAAAAATCAAGCAAATCAGCGGGGCGATTAATGAAATGACATTATTACCAATTGCCAATGATTATTGCCAGTTTAATTGTGATTATTTTTGTAATTTTGTTTTTGTAATACTAAATAAATAAATAAAACATCGACTCTATGTCGCCGCTTTGTCGTGTCGCGCCATCGACTGAGTCGCACTCAGTCGATGGCGCAACACGAGAAAGCGGCAACATAGAGTCGATATCATTTCAATAATCGCCTCGTAGTACTTTTACAAAAGGCAGCAGTCCAATTTTCAATCTTGTTTTTTTGCATTTTTGACCCTCTCGAGTCTTGACAAGTGAAATTTGCACATCAGTTATTTGCGTTTCTAGAAGCCAATTACCACTGTAGTGCTGCTTTTAAGGACAAGCGGAGAGTTCAAAATCGCCCTAAAAAATGATTTTGCTAAATGAACTTCTGCCCTTTTTAAAAATACTGATTCAAGTGCCAGGGTGACTAGCGACCTGGAAAATCGAGGAATCTGGGAAAAGTCAGGGAATGCATCTCGACTGAGAAAAATTAGGGAATTTTCTGTAGGGTCGGGTCTCACAAAAAAATTGGATCCGCGACAAGTCAGCTGTTATCATTGTTGTGCCAACGTTTTAACCATATTAATTAACTGCACTTATGTACGTAAAAAAGTCAGGGAATGATAAAATGAAATTTTGCTTGTCACCCTGAAGTGTTCCATCAAAGAAATTAGATTTTAAGATCTACAGATTTTTCTCTTCTTTTCTGAAAAAAGGAAAAACAGTTTTTTGAAAGAGGATTATTTCTCCGACCAGTCTGGAAGCACTTTGTCTATTATTTCCTCCATTTCTTACAGTTTTCCTGTTCGTTTTGACTTATGAATTTTCTTCTATCATTGCTTACACATTCTATCCATATCACGCATTGGAATGAAAAATATTTACAGAATACTTTTATAAATCTTCAAATATTTATCTTAGTTGTCACATATGTCTCTTGAGAAACTTTTTCATAGTTTAACTTTTTTCTTTCCCTTAGAACGCGCTAAATTCATCTGGGCGAGGTAAAACAACATGTTTTACGTGTGACACGGAAATACTAGGAGTTAAAATCAGTCTTTCCAACAGTGTTACAACACACTCTAATACATCCATCCCAGTCAAAATCAGCGAATTAATGGGAGAAGATTTCCTTGTTATTTTGACGGGTGAAGACTATATTTGCAAGCGATGTAATGTTCTTTTCAACCTAATGGATCGACTTCAAAGTGAACTGAGCATTGTTCAAAATGCACTTCTGGGTCACATCAGTAGCAAGTACAATCTACCTGGAATGTCAAACCCAAATACTATGGGAGAGGTAACTCCACTTCTAGTAGTTATTCATACTTAAATTTGAAGATCTTTCATTTTCTGAAAATTTTCTAATTGTTAAAACCCACAAACAGACACAGTTATAGATCTCCTGTAACTTAGGTAATGTCGAGAAGAGAGTAATGTAGAGTTTCTGCCACAGGGAAAACTCAGGAAACTGAATTTGAAGGGAAAACCCTGGAAATTCTTGAGCTTCTTTTTTCTTATTATTATTATTATCATTATTAGTTATTAGTGACCTTTTAACGTAGAAATATACACTTTGTTTCTAAACTGAATAAAGAGAATGTACAAGCAACAGAGGAACTTGTAACTTATTTACATGTATCAAAATTAAGAAACAGTATTAATGGTTCAGATCGAGGGGCTGGCCAGTTTTACAGCTTGACCCTTTTGAGGCGTCTGTATTCGCTGGAGTTGTCTAATAACTTAATAGCCTCAATACTCGAGCTTTTTGAGGAAGAAAGATGTTATATAGTGCTTTAACTTCTAACTTGTGGAGCAGCCCATTTTTGTGGATTTTATGAAGTAAGCAAACTTTTTCATTGGTCGCCTCTCTTAGTTCTTATGAAAGTTCTCATGATCAGGCAGAGCAAAATACCTCAACATAATTAATTTTTTTAAATTTATTTTTCAGATCCAGTTCAGTGTGAATGGCGTCCCGTATAATGAATTTGCCAAGCTGAATAACATAGAAAGTTCACAACTAAAGCTTCAAGTGAATCCGCCTTTGACTACCAAGTTGCAGTCGCCTCCTAAACCCAAACCCAAACCGAATAATAGTGCAAGTAATACAACTAGTAAAACAACGAAAATGTACAAGTGTGGTTTCTGTGACTTCCAATCCAAAGAACTAATGACAGTCAAAGAGCATATGAGAGGACACATGAACATTGACCAGAAAAAGGCTGAAAAGCGCCTTGGATCCCCAATACCGCCACGACCAATTAAGCGAAAACTCTTTAGATGTCAGGTTTGTATCTTCTAATTCACACTCTCCCTATTTTCGTTTTTGACCCTCTGCTAGGGCTTTTCTATCGGTTGTCGGTAAGCTACGGAAACAGTTCTGTTAAGAAAAAGTTACGATAAGAGCACTCTTTCCGATAGCGATCAGAGTTTTCGAAGCTGACGAAAATAAGCTGTTGCCATTTGTACATCTATTTTACGCGCCGCCACGCTAGGCAATCAGATAAACCGACACACGGGGCTACAATGCATTGAATGAAAGCTCTCAAAAATCCGATAAGGCCGGCTGTTAACGATATCATCGCCACTGTCGGTACTGCTGCCAGTTTCGGTAAGAGATGATATCGATAGTGTTCCGGCAATTATTCGTTTGAACACCCCTACCCTCTGCGGGTGAAGAGATTTTAGTTTACATGGGCAGATGGTCCAGTATAACACCGCTTGTCTTAGAAGTTAGAAAAATATGGTTTTAGAACTCTTTAAGGTATCCGAGGGAGTAAGTTGCCAGTGGTCAAGTTCATGTTTATGCCAATAGAGAGTGCAAAACTGAATTAATTTGGTCGATTTTGAGATCTATCCATTGCAGATCAATACCTGAATCAGGTTTTTTCTAGAAAAGAAAGAAAGAAAGAAAAAGTTTTATTAACTTTAAACAGTCTCAGCTCAAGTTCGGGCTTTCTTTTGTGCCAAAATTCTTGCTAAACATACCACTAAGCAGTGGTACCAATATCTCGATTTTATGTTTTTCAGCACATAAGTTCCTAGATGGTCACTTTCACATTTTATTATGTAATATTAGCTAAAGTTGAAAAATGTGAATCTCGGTTGCAGTGTTTAAAAATCTCCAATAATATTTTATTTATTCTTTTGAAAAAAAAACCAACCTAAGTATTTCCTTCAAATTATTTGTGAATTTTGTAGAAAAACTTAGTGAAGGAAATCTGTTGATTAATACTTATTTAAATGAGTAGGTACAGCATGAGCAATCAAGCGCTGTTTTGCAATCAGTAATGCGCATTTACAAATAGCAAGACAGTAACCGATATTACTAAATTATAATTAAGGAACCGCTAAGGAGATATTCAACAGCCTCTTTCAATGACCTCCTCCAACAGTTATGAAATTTTTAAAGAAAGAATCCGTCAGTGAACAGAATCTATTTTGATGCACGGACTCAAACTTCATACTGCTCCAATTTTTATCAGCATCGTAGATTTTATCCATTTTTATTAATTTTATTCCTTTTCAACATCCCTCACACAATAATAGATGAACAAACAAGGTTGCATCCTAATCAATGGAAGCAAAAGAAGAAGGACTTATGCCTAGGTCTGGAAAAAATGAATAGAAGAATTAATAAATAAGTAAAAAACGGAACGATTAAATCGCATTTTGCGTGAGATTCAAACATAAAAGAATAAGGCAAATTGACACACCGTATCATACTATTGTTTAGAATGCATAATTCTAATTTGTAGTCATTGGATGAATTTCAGACTCGATCCACTCATCTTCAGCAAACGAAGTAAAGTTGCAAAGTTTTTAACATAATGGAATCGAAATTTTTAGGAAATACCACCATGCATAGTTAGAAGATTTCAAAAGACTTTTTGTCTTTTTGACAGGAAACAAAAAACCAAAAATTATGTTACATAATAAACAGCCAGTAACTGACAAATAGTTAAAATTGTAATAAAGTCATAACAACATTCCTGCGAAGTGTCTCAGTGAAGTAGAAAAAAGTGTTAGTTTTGCTTTTCTGGAATAGCACCTTAACAAATGCTCTCTATTTTTCGATTGTTTATTGATTTCTATCGTCCTTCTTTTTCATAGGTCTGTTCTGAATCCTACTTCGATCGAAAGTCTTGCCTCTCTCACATAAAAGCAACTCACACAGGAGAAAATAGCCTAGCACAGAAGACATCTGTCTCCCTCAACAATTCCAGTAACAACCGAGTGCCTGGTAGCTTCAGCGCAGTAGCAGTGAATGGAAACCGAGTTACTACGGAGAAAACAAGCGATCCGAGTCAAGACACACAAGTAACCCAAGAGGCCATACCCACCGCAGAAATAGAATCGCAGAACACCTCACAAGGAACCCAAGAGGCCATACCCACCGCAGAAACAGAGTCGCAGAACACCTCGCAAGAAACCCAAGAAGCTACATCTACTACGGAAGTAGCGTCGCAGGACACTGCACCCGAAGTAGAAAATCCTATCCCTGAATTATCCTTGCAGAGCACAGCAGAGCAAGAGGCAGTTGTAAATAGCAATGATATCCAGGAAAATGGTACGAGTTTAGAGGGTGTGTTGAGGTTGGAAGAAACAGGGGAGAAACATACCGCTAAAATAGTCGTTGATGGAGAGAGTGGGCTTGATATTGATGCAATGTTAGCAGCCTTGCATTCAGATGGTAACAATACTAATGCAGTGCCAGTCAAAATAGAGCCCGAGTCTTAGATAATGGCCGTTGCCTGCCAATTTCTCTCTGGTTGCCATCTACGAGATGGTGTTGGAAAGTAGATACCTTTAAAAATCCGTTCTCTCTTTTTCTCTCTATCAGTGTGACGTCAAGAGTTAAGTCTTTTTACAATGATCCAAGGTACACTCTACTACAGGTATGAACAAATGGAATTTTAGAAAGTCGTCAAAACATGTGAAGTTGACAGCGAACAATGGTGCGACTGAGACGCCATATTGAAAACTCATTTACTTTCTGTTCTGAGAGTGAGTCTCGTCAATTTTGTGTTATTTTTTCGTGTTCTTAGTTAAGTTTTTCGTCATTTTGAGTTATATCAATTTTTCAAATTCATCTGATAGCTTATTGAAGCTACCAGATCTGTCAGAACCTCATTTTGAACTGCGTGGCAAAGACGGTACGACTTTCGACGTCACTTGATGGCCTACATTCTCAGCGCTGCCACTTCGGCACCCCGTTTGTCCATACCTGAAGTAGAGTGTACCTAGACAATGATCATCATATAAGTCTAATCTAGCCCTTTTTAGCTATGCCTTGAATAATACATCAATGGTGACTGAAACTTTTAAACCTTGTATCTTGGCTTTTGATGTTGCAGACTTCTTGCTATGCTTCATCTTTATATGGAGAAGTACTCAACGTCATTTCTTGAAAATTTCCATGATTTTTCCTCTCTGTGCAAAGCAAATTGTGAGAAAAACCCCAAGGAATGATGTTGATTAGTTCTCCTCTAAAAAAATGGAACAGGAGGGGAGATTTTTAAACACAGCAAACGAGACCTGTGAATTGGAGGTTTTATCATCGGTATTTAGGAGTGTGAAGCATTACATGGGCACTGTACTTATATGCACTAGAGTCAAGGAAAAGGGGACTCTGGGCAAAGGCATTATGCGTGACCTGACCATAATCCTCCCACCATAGAAACTGGCGTGGTACAGTTGCTGTATAGATCACTTAAAAAATAAAGAATGTCTCCAAATTTTAGAGTTCTCTAACGGTTCTTTCCTGCGAAGGATGCAAACTCATCCTCTATTTTAGGTAGTGAAGAATGGAATTGGTCAAATTCAACACTTCTCCTTTAAGTTTGCTTCTAATAGACTGCATCACATTTCAAATAATGTTTCTCAAAAAGAGACCAGCAGCCTGATTGTTGAAATTTTGTGTTTGTCGGGTAGACATAGATGACATAGGTTAAACGGCGGAACATGATTGATCGGCTATGTCTTATTGCTGATTTATTGTGCCTTTGTCAGGTGGAATGGACAACATACTGTCAAAAATTTAAGAGGTGCCGTTAGCTTGCCGTGAGTTCCACCTGCCATAGGCACGACAAAGCAGCGATAAGACATAGCCGACCAATCACGCTCCGCCTTTTAACAAGACTTACCTGACTTTACCCGACAAACACAAAATTTCAACAATCAGGCTGCAGGTAACATCCACTCTGGCGTGCTAAGGAAGAACGCCGTATGAGCCTTCCCTTCAATAGAAACCTAATTTACTACGAAAATTGTGAATATTTTTCCTCAATTTTTTTGGACTATTTCGTTCGCAATTTTATCTAAAACGTCAGAAAATTTCAAGGAAAAATACGCATAATTTTCTTCAAAAATACATTTTTTATCCGGGGCAATTTGGCAACTTGCGATTGTTCATACAGCGTTTTTCCTTGGCACGGCAGCACTGAACTGTTGCCAAATTTCATCTGACAGTTTTTGTCTCGACTGAGGAACGGTAGTACCAATTTTCTGGGAGGTTTCAGGGAATTTACTTTATTCCCTAGGGGAAAGTCCCTGAAACTTTCAAACAGATCGGTACAACTGTCCTATTGTGAGAGAAGACATTTTTCTATGAAATTTAGCAACAATTGATGTCTCTTTGTTTCCTTCTGGGAAACAGCCACATCATCTCTACCCACCAAATTCAAATAGCCCTTAGTCCAGTATTTGATTTATCAAGACGTAGCCAAAATGTAGCTCCGATGCTAGCTCAGTCCTTCAAATCCTTCAAAGAAATGTTAGTAGATTTCCTCTGTTACCATTTGATGACGGATGACTTTTTTTGATAACTTTTTTTTTCACTATTTCTCTGTTTAAATTAACGCATATCCTAGGCAAATATCCAATTCATTATGCTTTGCAGCATTATAGCATGAAACATACATAACAAAATGGACACGTGATAGTATTTAAGTAGTTCTCTTTCCACTTTCTCTTCTTTGTTGGCAACTGATCACACTCCTGAAGTGCAATCTCACTGTCCTAGTATGATTGAAAATCTACGATGATTGACATTTTTAAAGTTGTGGCATTTTTTGTGTCTATATGATTTAATACAATAAGTTTTCTCAGTAATGAATGATTTGAAATTCTTTTCATTTTGCCTCTCTTCAGCTGCAATCGGTAGGGACCATAGAGGAAAAACTGAAGGTGGTGAGAGGTATGATTTTGGTGGCCATCTCCATGACGCACACTGGAACGAGTCATCCGGAGAAATCGGACAAAATCTTGAAACTTTGGAAGCTTATATTTTCGAAAATATGAAACAAAAAAGTTCAAGAGTGGTTCTGATGGCTTTTTCGTGAAATTTCCTTTCATAACACCCCTTGAAATTGTATTTGTGACTATGTAAACATCAAATTTTGAAATTTTAGCCAAAAAATTCATGTCCGACCTCTTCTATTCGTTCAATCCACTGTGTGACACGGAAATAAACGATCAGTAGGTGGTATTATTGCTTCACATCAGATATCAATTTATTTTGTCGGACAACATTGTGAGGTGCGATATAAGGGGTTTGAGCTACTTTGATTTCATTTAATGTGATACACTGCAGCTGTTGCAGATCTTAGACAAGTGAAGATGCGCACCTATCACTCGGAAGACATTTGGTTCTTTTGGTGAAAATAGCAGAAATGTGAAATCTTGTGTGTATCTTATCTTCTTTGATCAGTGAGGAAGGAAGATTTCTCCTTGATAAACAAGCTGGTGTTGCAAGATCTCTCTTAGAAAAAGCTGAAAAAATCCTCCTTCCAGTCCTGCTTTTCCCGAAATCGGCCAAGTGAATGTTCTTGTTCTATTTGTAAAGTTTAACACACCTAGGAGATTGTGAAGGATATCTGTTGTATCCAAGAACAACGCAATTACGCCCAGGCAAAATATCTTGGGTGTTATGAGTGTGGTCCTCTCTGTGCAAAAACCCTAGGAAGTTAGGAGATTTGCGAGTCCACAAAGCGAGTTTTGGTTCAATAAAAATGTCAAAACAGCCACCACCTATTCATATCTTTGGTCGCTAACACTCACACTAAACCAAGCCAATTTTATCAGCGCTCCTTTTTACGCTGGTTTGAAAGCTGGCTACTGGTTCCTGCACTCAAATCATTTTAACTGGAGTGTGGATTTTGGTGTTAGTTAAGTTACAGGATAGTTGTACGAGAAATTTTGCTCCACTTTATATTTTAAGGTTTTTCTGTGTTTCATTCACTTTCTTTCTTATTCGAAGAGGAATTCTCAAATAATGAAAAATATTACTTTTTGATGAACATATCCACCACTTTCACAAATGAGAAAAAGGAGGTTAATTTTACTATCTAGGCCAAATTCATTTATTGTTATTTTTTATGTGATCATGAAAAGACCATCGCTAACGGTGAAACCATCCATCATTATCGCACCTTACTTATTAATTTGTGAAATACAAATATTGTAGAGTCAATTCTGTAAATTTGATACGTACAATGTGTAAAATAAAGCGGTGAATTCATCAAAAATATACAAATTATTTTCTTGCTTTCTCCTACGGCGCCCAAGTGAAAATCTTTCGAATGAGCTGTTGTATTGTCGACAAAATCAATAAGTTAAAAAAAATTAAGGGTAATATACAAACCCTTTTTTGCATTAACCAAACAAAAATTAGACAATGTATTGAACCCTACTGAAATTGAACTCTTCAATTCCAAAATCTATTCTCATATCGATTACCAAAGAGTGAAACCGCGTATCTTCGTTGGTGATGTTGTAGACTTCCTGACTTACTTGATTTTTCCTTTGGAAAACCAGTCAATGTAATTTCTTGAAATCTTCTTGGTAGTTTCTCTTTGAGAAGATAAAATAAGAGCAGTAATTTTGAAACATTGCAAAGGATACGCATAATTTTACACTTCGGCCATCGACATGCTAATTCAGAAATGGAAAATACAGGAGAAGGAAATGGAAAATGTAAAGATCAAAAATACGGGTAGATAAAAAACGAGAGATGATATAATTATACACTGAGAATTCTTCCACCATCCTTCACAAAACTGATAACAATATTATCCAACAACAGAGAAGTAATAAATTAAAAGCCTAAGGATAAAGATCAACTTAAAGATAAGTTCTAAGATACAGCTGAGAAATTTTACCCTGGAATATGAATGTACATGCAATAAGTATCAATCCTTGACGTAAATCACAGATTTTCAAGAATTGGTTTCATTTTTCTTTACTGTTTTCCTGCCGATCAGCGACGGATAGAAGACAAGAGCAAAAAGCTGCAGAGGGCAGGTTTTACCAAGTTGTAACACCACCTAGACTAGCTTATACTCACTGATCATCAGGTATTAGGAATATATTCAATTCTTTAATTTTTATTACAATGATTTTCAAACATAATACTAGAGAATATGAAAAAAAATATATGCTTTTTTGGGATATTCCCTGTCAGAGTGTTCTTGCATGCCAACAGTGGAACTGCAAAAACAAGTAACTCGGTTTAAGACACTGCAGGTTGCCTGTCATAATTCATTTTTTAAATGGGGTTTTTTTTTCCCATTTTTTTTTTGGAAAAATATTCAACGTCATTCCTTTAGAACTTCTCCTGATTTTTGTTCTCTGTGTGAAGTATATTCTGAGAAAGTTTCAAGCAATATCGCTGGTTTGATGTCCTCTGGTAAAATACATTGGGAGCGGAGATTTTGAAATACCGAAATCGAGATACATGTTTCTGCAGTTCCACCATCGATGCGTCGTTGCATACAAGAAATCCCACAAAAAAGCGGAAAAATGTGATGGTTTCGAACTATGTATTCTTACAGAAGATTTCTAGCGCTACCTCTTGATTGTTCCCATGAATCATAATTTACAATTGATTCCATGGTAGACTCGTAGAAAAAGTTCTTACCATTTGCTAGATCAATAAAACCTGCAGCAGAAAAGAGTGGTCCCACGATTATTATATATATATATGACTGGTTCTGACGACTGATTTATGCGAATATGATAGAGACAACACAGGAAACTAAAATTTTGCAGGAAACATTATACAACTTTGGATGGGATAAGTTATGGAATTAATTGGAAAAAATAGGTTCACTATGCTTGAAATCATTTGGCCACATATTACAATTAACCACGATTTTGCCATGGAGCCAAAGTCTCCCATTCTTGTCACCATTGTTCGCGACTGACGCAGGGGCTATTTTCACCATGTTCTCAACTTTATTTCCTTCCCAAATTTCTTTCCACATAATCCCTGAAGTTCAACAGTATTTGCTCTGTTCCATGTCATATAACTTCTTATTTGACAATTTCTGATCTCTCTGAGAAAGGAACAAATTCGTAGTTTTCAAAACTATGAAAGCCTTTCTCATGGGTCAATTTTACTGAAGAAGGAATATATCCTTAATTTTCGAAACGGTGAAAGACTTTCATACAGAAAAAGACGAAATGACTTTAGCTGCTGATAGAGACACTTTCTCACTTGGCAAGGGTGCAGCAAGACTATAAAAGGTTTTCAGTGACCCATGAAACCGCCCACGTTGGGGATTTTCGCGCGAGAGCTTTTTGGCTCAACAAGTCAGTGTATTAAAATATCTTGTTAGATGAATGTTTCCTTCAAAACTCAAGAGAAAAGCAGAGAAATTCAGGGAATTTGAACAATTTCTAAGATTACAAGGTTGCCACAGAATGTAGAACATAAAATTCCCTGATTTCCGAGACAC